CACGACGCTACTGAACAGAAAGGTGGCAGAGCCTATCTCATACTACCAGGTACTGTTTCTGCATACAGAGCTATTTTACTTTTTTCCCTTTAAGCTTGCATATGATTTTGAATTGTTTGTACTGAAACTAACTTAAATGACACAGATAAACCTTAAAACTTACCTACAGCAAGTAATCTTACTGCTAGTTTTGTGTTTCGAGACTGACTTCTGTTCGGGAGACCACAAGCCTTGATTAAAGCAAACAAAAAGCCAAAGTAAATTACAAGTTAGCGCTCAGCTAATAGAAACCAATATTGTCAGACAACTCAGCAGGGACTTCAGGGGGATCAAAGTCTCACCCACTGCTAGAAGGATGTTTAAATGTGTATTATTATTTATCAGTAAATGGGGGAAAAAATGTCCATGTAAATAATAAAGGGGGTGTCTCTGCAAAAAAAAAAAAAATCTCAGTAACAAAGTAGTACATTTCACCCTGTGGTGCCTCACCACAGTCCTTTCCAACTCAGTTTAAATGATTGAAGTATCTAATGTTACTGAACCTTAGGTACCTTTACACCTCATCTCTTCTGGATATCAAGAACTGTACATATCCATAGTTAGCTGAGTTATCCAACTTCAATAGAACTGGCTGGCCTAATGGAAAAGTTAGACAAAGAAGACGTACCAAAATCACTGGAAGAGCAGGATGCCAACTGATGAGTAAGAGGATTGTAGGAAAGGCACTGTATAGAGTCATTATGCCTAGAATGAAGTTACAATCATATTTCAGTAAATCATTCTTAAATGCCCCCTTTTCTGAGTTTCAGCAAGACAGCCAAAAGATTTGCCAGATGCCAGAAATAATTCGATCAGTTTATATTCCATCAAATTAATCTGCAATTACTGTAAACTAAATCAGTAATAAGCCTTTAAAGAATTGTCTCCAAGTGGCAGGATTCACTGTATTTCATAGAGAGGAGCTAAAAATGTAGGTAGGTGGTGGTTTGTGAAATATAATCAAAGGTTATACCCAGGCTCTAAAACAGGCATGTGGGTGTACGCTCCTACGTACCGACCAGCACTAAACGTGCACACACCTTCAGAAACGGAATTTGAAGATGCCGCTTAAGAGGGCTGACATAAAAACAAAGCCAGAAGATGGAAATACACCAGAAGTATCAAACCTTAGCTTTAATTTGGCCTTTGAACCAAAATTACATTATTTCTGTTTATTCTACAAGATCAGTCATATTCTGTCAATCTGTACAGTTCTTTCAGTTCTCTGCCAGCCCTCTAATTTCAGAGATTTAACTAGACTTCCCCGACCCCCCCCCTTTTATGCCTTTAATTGCTTTCCTGTCACATTCTGATACTTCAACTGTTCTTTTCCTTTCCCCTCTCCTATTACCCCCTGGCACTCCTCTGACCTTAGCCTTCTTCCAAATCCAACAGCACGTACTCTTTGACAGCAGAAGTGCATAATCAAAGTCCGTTTTTGAGAGGCACAGAAATCAAAGGCGTCACTTACGTGTATTTCAGAATTCCTTCTAACTTTGAAGTCCAAATTATCACGCTTTTATCAGCCGAGCCAGATGCGAAACGTTTGCCTAGGAATTAAATATAATTTAAATCCCACACATACAAGAATCACTTTCACTCCAAATACTCCATCAAAGAGAGAGCAAGAAGTTCTTGAACTTGACAAGGCTCAAGAAATAAAGGGCCTAACACTGCAAGGGTCTTGACGTGACCGTGCATCTCCAGTTGCGAGGAACTCCGACGACTTCGCTATTCCCGCAGAGCGCGCCTCGTTAAAGCCCAGCAACGCAAACAAGCGGCCAGTCTTTCCCACCCTGTCAGTCACGGGCTGCAGAATTTAGCTAAGAGTGTCAAGGGAAAATGGTACGTTTTCACAGGTATCACCTGTGCCTTGAAGAGCAGTGTCTGAGAGGAAGTCCTCTGAATCCATGGACGGGAAGTCTCCACAGAATGAATATCAGAGGCAGTGAAAGCATTGGAGGCAGAATAAGGTCTGTAGGGAGCATGGTAATGTGGGAAGTATCAGACGACTGGGAAGCTTTGGGATAGAGAACTATGGGAATAAAAATCAGAGGCAGGTGGAGTAATAGAAGCGGGATCTCTGGGGTAAGCCTGCTCCTCACATCCCCACACACATATCAACGTAACCATCACTGCAGTAGAAGGGAAAGGGAAGTGGGGACTACATTTCTTGAATTAACAGGTAGCCTTACATGTAAAAGTACAGTACTTCTGCATGTAGCATTTGCAGGGCAGCTCAAAGCCTCCATTAAAACCCAAACAACCAAAACACCACACTCCGACACGTTCAAAATGCTGAAACAACTTTGATTTCTCTGTGGATCAACTGGCAATAAGGAAGAAAGGCACTTTACAAACCAGACTAACAAAGGCCCCCCCCAAGTGATATTTACCATCTTTAGCATAAGCCACACAGTATACAGTGTCCTTATGTCCTTTCAAAGGCTGAATTAAGGTTCCATCAGAAGTATCATACACCTATTTAAATAGAGGGAAGAAAACACACACATACAAACAAAACCCACACATTAAAGAGGACTAGGATGTAAAATTACTGAAGGCCAACAACATCATACGCTTTCTGTGTTTGCTTTCTGCATAACAGAGTCCTCTCAAGACAAAACATTTGAAAGCGCAGAAGCAGCTTTCCTTAACGCTTCTCAGAATGAAAGAAGACTCCACATTAGAAAACTATATACACAAAAGACATTTCTAAACAGCTCATTTGGGCAGCTTGCTTCACTCTGCCACATCAGATGTTTAAACACCATAAATAAGTGGAAAGGACCATCACTAAATACACCATTCTGCCAGCACTGAAAATTATGAAGCTTGCTGTCCTGCAGTTCTGAGCTACACCTCTACAACCGTGCCACCCACCCACCCATCGTTTCTACACCTGCCCCATCCGAAAGCTTTGCAGGAGCAGGGAGCCGTGCGGTCCCGAGCTGCTCTTGCCGATGGGTTAGCAGCAGGCACATGGACGCTGGGAACATCAGTCTGAGTTTCTTTCCCCTTTTCACAGGGATCTGCATGAAACTGTAACAATGCAGTATTTGTGTAATGTGCCGTTGTGGTAAGTTTCCATGCAGGTGAACGGATTTCAAACCACGGGGTGAGAGGTGCAAGAGGACGAGATGATGCAAGACAATTAAATATCGTTACTTTCGGCTATAGGGCTTAAAACTTTCTAAGACACATTAAAAAGCTTCCAAACACTTTACAGTTAGCAAGCATTAATACATATGTAGATATCAGGCTGGACTAGTAGAGATAAGAGGATTTTTGATAGGTTATATTCATAAGTTAATGTGAAAGAAATCACATTCATACAGCTGTAACTGCAAGAGGAAAAAGAAAAGTTTCCCTACCAGCAGTCTATTTCCAGCAGCAATTATCAACTGAGTTCCATCCGGTTTGAATGCAAGATCATAAATACTAAATGAAAAAAAAAAAAACCACAGAAGACACCCCACCCCAAGAAAATCCTGTATTAGTAGGCAGATGTATTTCCTTAAACGTCAAGCCACTAACTGCATACTTCAGAGTGTATCATGTATCGCTGGGAAAACTCCCTAGAGCAGATCCCTGTGTGACCATCTCCCCACACTCAGCCCAAGCACCGGCCACCGGCCAGGCTCCAGGCCTGGACCCACCGGGACAGGAGGCGTGGGGGTGCCTGCGGCTGGGGCAGACCCACAGGGCGCAGGCTGGATGCCGAGCGCCCCGAGGTTTCGCCTTACGCGATCCCCGGTATCGAGCAAGAGGCCGCAGGACGTGCACCCACCCCCCCACACCCAGCCCAGGCACCGGCCACCGGCCAGGCTCCAGGCCTGGACCCACCGGGACAGGAGGCGTGGGGGTGCCTGCGGCTGGGGCAGACCCACAGGGCGCAGGCTGGATGCCGAGCGCCCCGAGGTTTCGCCTTACGCGATCCCCGGTATCGAGCAAGAGGCCGCAGGACCCAGCGGCTGCTGCCCGCAGGTGGCCCGT